TCTTTTTCTCCTAATTTACACATTTCTCTGTCTTTGTATTTGTCATATTTTTAGTCATGATGTTTTGGGTGATTTATCACGTTTGGAGTTTATTCAACTTCTAAATGTGCAGGTCTATGAATTTCATAAAATTTGGAAAATTTTTAGTCATTTTTTTCTTTGAATAATTTTTAGCCCCATACTCTTTCTGAGTCTTCTATGAATGCTGGGTGTTTTGTTAGAGGCAAGGAGGTCTCTGAGGAGGCTCTATTCATGATTTTTTTCAGTTGATTTTATCTGTTTTTCAGGTTGGGTAATTTCAATGGTTCTATCATTGAGTTCACTGGGTTTTTTTTTTCCTATTAAATCTATCACAATATTCAGAACATCCAATGAGTATTTAAAACACTTTTTGATTTTGTTTTTTGGTGTTAGTTCCATAGTTTTCATTTGGTTCTTTTGTATATCTTATATTTCTTTTATGAGATTTCCAAAAATTTGTTTCTAGAGTATTTGTAATTGCTCATTAAAGCATTTTTTTGTGATTTTTAAAAAATTGTTGTTGACTAATTCCAATATCTGTTTCATCTCAGTGCTGGCATCTCTTCTTTTTTTTTTTAAATTGAGTTTGGCATCTCTTCTTATGGGGTTTATGAGATTTCCAAAAATTTGTTTCTAGAGTATTTGTAATTGCTCATTAAAGCATTTTTTTGTAATTTTTAAAAAATTATTGTTGACTAATTCCAATATCTGTTTCATCTCAGTGCTGGCATCTCTTCTTTTTTTTTTTTAAATTGAGTTTGGCATCTCTTCTTATGGGAATTGTTCTTGGTATGAAGAGTGATTTTTCATTACATACTAGATGTTTGATGTGGAATGTTAGGAGACTTTGTATCATATTTAAATCTTACACTTTAGGATGATGATGTAGGGTTTCAAAGCCCTGTCTGTGTCCTTGTGGTATACTTTTTTTTTGTTCACCAAATGCCACTGGTATACTTGCTCCCTGGTGTTGCTTGCAAGAGCAGAAGACACTTCCCCAGGGTGCCCAGCACTGCTTGGTGGTGGCTGCAGGTACATCAGGCCTTCAGGGCAGATGCCATTGCTCTGGATCTGCTCACCAACTAGCCCAGTGCAGGGTGCAATGTGGAAAGCCTTCTGCTGGTACGGCAATGTCACATTTACCAGGACCCTTCGGCTACTGCAGAATGGTAGGCCTGGAAAGGCCAGAGTTGGTATGCAGCCTTTTTTCTTCATTAGGATTTTTTACGGAATTGAAACATCATTTTTATTTCCCTCTGGAGCTGTATCTTCGTTGTGAGTCAGACAATAGAACTATCAAATTTCTGAAAAATTCTTTCCTAAAAATCTCTGTCCAGACTCCATAGTTTACTCCAGGGAAGCAGTACTTGTCTATCAGAGGCTCTTTTCATTCTCTCATTGCAAGAAGCCCTTCCTAATGGGGCAAATCCAATTTAGAATAGAGATTTCCTTTGTAGTCTCCTCCATCATCAAAGAGACAAAATGATCAGTGTAGAAAGAGAAGACTATCAGATGCTCTATTTCATACAAAAAGAGCTACGTCCCCAAATACCAATCCCGCAGTTCCAGAGATATCTGCCTGTATGCCAGGTGGCAGTCCTCCATTACGGAAGCCTGACGGGCCATCCATGCACTACTCTCACAATGTAACCCTCTCTCTTCTTCCTCACTTTATCTTTACTGAGATGCTCCCATCACCCTCCTGCCATCTAATTTTAGAATATCTATATTTCCCCAATTGCTGTCACCCTCACCTCAACTTCTATAATACCTGTTTTTGGAGCACAGTTTACTTTCTCATTCACACCAGCTGTTATGTCTCACAAGCTTTACTGCTGTCTATAACATATATCTTGTGTTGAATATGAGGCCTCCCTTGAGTATCACCCGTCCTCTCTATGATGGTTGTGTCACTCTGCAAGACTCTGAGCTGCATTCCCACTGTCCTCCCCGCACGTCTAAACTGGCTACATTCAGCTCTGCACATGTTCAACACCCAACCCACTGTACCCATTCACTCGATCATCACCTTCCAGCACATCTTGTATGCCAGACTCCATGTTGATGCTGGAAAGCAGCCCAAGAAGCTTCCAGGTCTTTGGGGGAGGTTGACACATCTACAGATCCAATACAGGGTGATGATTGCAATAGTAGAGGGAAGTAGAAGGAGTTGCACACAGCCAAGGGGAGCCAGAGGAGGTATCTAGGGGCAAAAGGGACTCAACTGCACTCCTACAGGATGAGCAGGAGCTACTCACATGGAAAGCAGAAGGAGGGCCCTGTGTGCAGAAAACATGCTGTTTTAGTTACTTTTCTCTCATTGCTGAGACAACCAAAGTTAGAGGGGAAGGGGTTCATTTGGCTCACAGTTTGTGGAGGCTTCAGTCCATAATTGGCTGGCTTCAAGTCTGGGATGGCAAATAAGCCTCACAGAGGAGAAACAACATGGCGTGCAAAAGTCAGCAAAAGCAAGAAGAAGAAGTTAGGAACATGTCCTTGCCCTCTTTATCTTATTCAGACTACTTAGGGCACGTATCACTCACACTCTTAATGTCAGTGCCCTTGGGCCTAGCATTGCATCATGAATTAATTCCAGCTTTGCACACTCTAGATCAAGCCTATGACCACATGAGACTTTGTGGGGGACATCTATACCTAAACCATAATACATGCCTTACCCCTATTGGCCAAAATTTGACCTGGTGTTGTCTGGCCCAGTGGTTTTCAGGGTCTATGTGATGTGCCGTGGAGAGAAAACATAGGATGGAAAGACTTCATGTACCCAGTGAGGAGTTGTTTTCTGGACAGCAGCTACTGAAGGGCTGATAGCAGGGAGTGGCTTGTCAGGCTGTGTGCTGAGGTACTCATTCTGAGTGCTATGGAAGCCTAAACTCTGGGGATGCAGCAGAGGAGAGGAACACTTTGTGCTAGCCTGAGTATAACTAAGTGCCATTAATTTGAGAAACTAACCAACCAACCAAAAACCCCTCCTCTTGGCACAGCCAGACATATCCCTAGCCCATAGTGCATCAGGTGGCCTGTTCTGCAGGTGGTAGGGAGAAATATCAGCAGGGTGACTCAAGTTGTGCAAGTGTTGGAGAAAAGTCCCAAACTTCGTACACATCTATGAGAATAGTCCCCTGAAAACACTTCACCCATCACAAAGGAAAAATGAGGCTCACCTCCCACACACTTTCTTTCCCTAGTTTGCCCACTCATGATCTTTTTTCCCTTTGGAGATGTCCTCAGACCCAGGGACAACAGTTGGTGCAGGCTATCGGGGTGAGCTCAGAATTTGGAGTCAGATAGAAGTGGGGTCATATGCCCATGACATCTCATTAACTCCCCAGAGCCCCAGCTCTCCTGCATAGGAGGGAATTCCCATACCTTGCAGGGTGACTATGAGGCTCCAAAATGATGACGGTAAGTGCTCAGCATGGAGTGGAGTGGATGCCCAATTAATATGAGTGGTGGGAGCTGCAGAGCCTTGTGCAGGCCGAGCCCCACCCCTTGATCTCCAACGTGTGACAGCAAAGCCTGAAACCAGGGGCCCCTGAAGATTTATTACAGCTTCTTTTGTAATGTCCCAAACTGGAGACAGCTTAGTAAAAGAGAAGTATCTGCAGGAACTGTTGCCCCTCAAAACTGTTAGCTGTTCAAAACAATCATTTAATCTCTTTCTTCATGGGAAAATAGAGGCACATCCATGAAAATCATTCATTGTAAAGAGCAATGTGTCATATATGTATATGTGTATATATATATATCATGATATCATTTATGCAAGATTAAAAGGAAAAAATCTGTCTTACAGTTGGATCTCTGTATCTGTGAATTCCATCTGTGAATTCAACCAAGGATCAAAAATACTAGGAAAAAAGACTGAACACATACAGTCTTCCTCTTGTCAGGATGTCCTAGACAATATAGTATAACTACTATTGACATAGCATTTAGATTGTATTAGGTGTTATGAGTAATCTAGAGATTATTTAAAGCATATGGAAAGAGCTGTGCAGGTTGTACACAACTACTCCATTTTATATAAAATATTTGAGCATCTCTTATGGGGAGGGGAGGAGGGGGTGAAGGGAGGGCAGGGGTAAGGGGAAAAAATGAGAATCAAGATCTGTCATGTAGAGGTACAAGATCCCAACAATGAATGTAACTGTACTGTATCCCTAAAATGTACCAATAAACTCAATTAAAGCTGAAAAAAAAGAATACATAAAAAAATATTTGAGCATCTCTGGATTTTGGTATCCTCGTGGGGCCTTGGAAACAATTCCCTGTGCACAGCAAAGGATAACTGCGTAATGATCCATGGGATTGTGTGAACAGGAGGGATGGGAGGAAGAACACACTCTGAAGGCTAACAAAGCCCTGCCTCAGTAAGGTAGAACTTCAGGGAGCTGAGGCCAGGTCACTGACCCTTGTTGTCATGCCAACTATATTGTTTAATAGCCTTATATCAACCATATTTTCCTTTCATAATTCAAAAATTGAAAGAAAAAGGAAGAAGACATGAACATATATTCCAGATCTGCCTCCTATAACCTGACAAGTTATTTGAGTCTCTAAACTTTGCTCATTGTTTAAAAAATGAAAGTGATCCTGCCCCTCCAAGCCTGGAAATTCAAGCACATAAATCCGAGATTTCATTCCATAAACATCATCCGGGAACCCAAGTATGGGCTAGGCATCGCACTGGAGCATCAATAGCAAAGGCCCATGTAACACTTCTCCCAGCTGGTGACACACAGCACAAAGGTTTTATCGCTCTGCCACACAGAGGAGTGACCAGCTATGGCACTTCTTACTCATGGCAAAAAGGATGGGGGGAAGGTTTGGGGGTTGTCAGCCTTTGGTGTGACTTCCAAGGGAGACCTCTGTTGGCACTGATATGGCCAGCCAAAGACTGGGACCCTGCTTTGCACCTTCTGTAACTACCACCTTCTGCCACTGGGCTTGTGTTTCAGATTTGAAGCCCAGGAAGAAAAATTGGGTGAACTGCATCATGGCTGTAGTGATCATCTACCTGATTCTGCTCACAGCAGGTGCTGTGCTGCTGCAGCTTCAAGGTAAAGCAGTCTTGGTTCTGTGTGATCCTGAACTGGGCCCCTCTGATGCAATGACTCAAGCTGAGTGGACAGTTCTGCTGGGAGAGAGCACTCAGTCTCTAGGCCACCACAGTGATGGATGAGGGATGAAAAGTAGTCTGTGCTGGGCGGGGAGGGGTGCACTTTGGAACATGTGTGTGTAAAGCAGTGAAGACACCACAATTTCACATGGGGCTTGCCACGAGCATCCAACAAATGATTCCCAGCCACTGGGTGGGAAAGGGCTTTGTCACTTAACTATTCATCTGAACAAGATTTTACTTCCAAAGTATTTCCAATCCAAATGTCAAAGTCATGAGTCAGTTTCACCAGCAGCTACTGATGTCACCCAAGCACGTCGTGGACACAGTTGTCATGTCAACACTTGTCAGGAACATTTGAAGGTCACACCCAAATGTTCTTGTCAGGAACATTTGAAGGTCACACCCAAATGTTGCTTGAACATCTTTAGATCAGACCAGCACGCTGGTTGCCACAAATTTATACCCGCAGGATGCAGTGAAGCCTGAGGTTGGGAGATTGAGGTGGACGCATGGTCACAGTTGTAAGGAATGCTCCAGGGAACTGTAATGGGTGTGGAGGAGGACATGTCCTCAAGTGTAGAACAAAGTCTGTGCTCACACCAGGTCCCAGCAGCACATGGAGTTCATGTTTATGGATTTAGGGCCTGCAGAAGTCATGTACAAGTGACAAGAAAATGCCAGGGATCCACCCCAGATTTGCAATGAGGTCCTTAAAGAAATGCTGTGTGGGGGGGTACCAGTCCTGAAACTGCAGGGAGCACCTGACTACTTCCCCAACGGGACAATTATTGCTGAAGACAACCCATCCTTCTCCCGGCTGCGTTTGGCATTGGAGCTGAATGACCTACAGACCCAGCTGTCTAAAGTTCAAGTCATCCAGGAACGTCTGTTGCAGCAGGTGGACAATCTCACTCGCAATGCAGGTTTGGCCTCCTCTTCTCCAGGCTGGGACTTCCAGAGATGTTTGTTTTCACAAATCTCTTTCCTTAGCAAGAGGGGTTTGCACGACCCTGGCCTGGTCTGTGACTCTAAGGACAAGGAGGTGGGTGAGAATCATTTGAGGTGGGTATGAAATTAGGAGGGTGATGCTGCAGGATGCAGATTGTGGAGTGGGGCTCAGTTAGGTCTCCAGGAACAGTGGGGTCTGGAACCAGGGAACCAAAGGCCCCATCCAAACAAAGTGTGGCCTCTGGGAGCCTAGTCCAAGGTCAAGTCTGACTCACAAAGACCCAGAAAAATCCTGAGCGTGTAGGAGGGTAAGTAAAATGCAGAGCCTGAGTGAGTTCCTGGCCTGCTGCTATAGCTGGCATGCAATGGCCTGCAGGTGGGGAGGGAGCAGTGGAGGGCTCAGAAGACAGCAGCTGGAGGGAAATTCTGGACTTGAACGGTACAATGGTTATTGAGCAGGAGGAGAGGAGCCAGGGGTAGAAATGCCAACCCCCTGCTCCAGCTCTCAGGGCTTTACAGCTGCACCCAGGCTTCTCTCAGGCTGCCCCACAATGGAAAGCACTTCACTCTCACTCAGCGAGTTGGGCAAACCCAGACCCTAGGTGGCAAGCTGGCTATCACACTGTGATGTGGAGCCGCATCCCCAGCAGAGCTCCAGCCCCAGTGTCCCAGAAAGCTTTGGGGGCAAACCCAGACCCTAGGTGGCAAGCTGGCTATCACACTGTGATGTGGAGCCGCATCCCCAGCAGAGCTCCAGCCCCAGTGTCCCAGAAAGCTGGGGCATCGGAGAGTCCAGGAGGACAAAGCCCTCCAGAGGCTGTGGCCTCCCCAGAGAGCAAGATAAAATCTCAGTCAGGCTCTGAGGAGAGGCTGCAGCTATGGGCAGATGGACAGAGCCGAGGTGTCTCTCCCTCCCTTGAAAGGTGAAGGAGCTCTTTTTGCCAGTACGAGAAGGTGCCTCCTCGGTCCCAGGAGCTTCTACAAGCTGGACTGGGCAGGGCCTGGTGCAGGAAGGCAGTCCAGCCCCTTTCCCCACTCCTGTGGCTCCCAGGCATCTGCAGCTCCTGGGTGAAACCATGGGTGCTTTCCAAGACCTTTCTCCTGAACACACCCAGGAGTTTGAATCCTGTCCTCCAAACCTCTCTCCATAACCTGGCTGAAGCTTCTGCTTCACACAGTGTGGGGGACAGCTTTCCTATATAGAGCCTGGCTCCCCTGGAGAGTGTGTGGACTAAGCTGAGAGGCACCCACAGTTCAGTCTGAAACCCTCTCTCCTTCCCTTGCAGAGTTGCACAGGATCAAAGGTGAAAGAGGTGCCCCAGGTAGGTCCACTGCTCCCTTTTAAAACCTTTCCTCAAGGACTCCTTGGCCTTCACTGATCTGGGCCAACTCCCCATCTGACCTGACCTCACCTTTCAGGGGGCGCCCTCGATTGCATCATCTGTCTGCTCCTTGACCAGCTCCTGGCCTCTGCACTCTCCTTGCTTGAAATCACTTCCCCTCTCATTTCCCCCATCCAAGCCTCACCATCTTCCCAGGCCAGTCCAAATCCATCTGCTCTGCTCCCTCTCCCCAGCATCTCAGCTTCCAGGAGCCTCTCCCCTTCTCTCCCATAAGCACTTTCATCTGCCATTAGGGTCCATCGCCAGGTTGTGTGCTCACTTCCATAGGTGCTGGTCTTTTCTCGCCCTGTAGCCCTCCTTGAGAGAACTTTCCAGGACTCTCAGCCTCTCACTGGTGTGGAAAGTAATGGTGATCACAGGGCTCACCTCATAAGGCTGCTGTAGGACTTACAGGGTGATGTACAAAAGATGTCTGACAGCTGCCTGTGTTCTTTAGGATAAAGCCTGTGGTGCATCTCCCTTCTTTCCCGTCCTCAGCCCACACATGTGCTGTGTTGCACACACTGGTGCACACACACCTCCCTCACATCCCGGTTCCATTCCAGCATCTGGGGAGTTGAAATTTTTCCCTGAAGACAAATATTCTTGATGTTCTTGGGACAGAGTCCTTGGCACTGTGATTTCTTAGGCACGTCCCGCCTCCCCTCTGGCCAGAGAGAGCTGTGGGGCAGCCCTGTGCAGAGCTGGGGACAAGCCCTGGCTCTGCCCCTCACATCGATGAGGTTGATGCAGTCATTTAACATTCCTGTCCTCCCCTGCAAGAAGAGGATCATGGTCGGGTGAGGGCGGGATAGAGCAGTTCCTGTAAAAGGCCCATCCAGTGCCTGGCAAAGAGTCGGCATTCTGTAGTGCTGTTGTTCTTGTTATTGGCTATTGCTATTCGTCCTTTATTTGAAAGATGAGAAGAATTTTGAGCAGCCCCCAAACTGATGAATACTCTTGGCTCCTCTCCTGTCAGGAGCAACTTTTCTGGCAATCTCTGTTACTTCAGCTGATGGCCCAATGGGGTTGGTGTGATCTCAAAAGTCTGCCCCATCACCCCCAACACTACTAGGCTCAGAGCTCCAGGTCCAGATAGGGAGCCCACCCACCTCTGGTCTCACTGTCTGCCTGTCTGTCTGTCTCTCAGCATAGATGTATAATTTTCCATCTGTATCCCTGGGGTTTGGCTCCAGGGCCTGCATGGATACCCAAATCAGCAGAGGCTCATGTCCCTTGTATAAATGTTGTCATATTGCATATGGCCTGTGCACATCCTGCTTTGTATTTTAAAGCATTTCAGATGATTTGAAATACCAAATACAATGTAAATGTTATGTAAATAGTTAATCTATTATTTAGGAAATAATGACAAAGAAAAATGTCTATACATGTACACTACAGAGGCAATTTTCCCCCAAATATTTTCAATTCATACTTGGTTAAACCCAAGAATGTAGAACTCACAGATACTGAGGGTCAACTATACAGACTCTCCATCTCTATCTCCCCATATCTCTCAGTCTCTGTTTCTCCATCTCTGACTTCTATCTCCCTCTCCCTCTCCCTCTCCTTCTCTTTGTCTCCTTTCTGGTGCCCAAAGAGCAGAGACAGGACAGCATTTCCAGGAGCTGGGGCACCACCTACCTTCCCAGATTCCCCATCCAGCCCCAGGCACCAGAAGGTTGTGACCTCTGTCTGTTCCCCATGGCTTGCCTTGTCTCACCTGGTCAGCACTCCCCAAAGGCTCATTTTGTGATCAGACTCCCTGGAGAAGCATAGGAGGTCAAGGGACAGGGTGTGGAGCTCAGATGTTCCTTATTTTGAACAGACCACAGCAACAACTACCAGCTCAGCCCTCAGACCAGGATTCCTGGACACAGTGGGGGTAATGGCACCTCAGCCAAGCTTCTGGGAGGGGATTGTGGAACCCACCTGTCCCTGTTTTCCTTCGTCTTCAGCCTGGACTTCCCTTCCTCCCAATCAATGTTTATTGAAATCTCCGTAAGGAGGAGGCACTGCCTCAGGTACTGGGAATCCAGACAGGAAGCAGACAAGACCCTGCCCTCTCTGACCTTCCCCGTTAGGGAGGAGCAAAGCATGGTGGGGCAGGGTCCTTCACATGATGGTGCAGACCCTTATGTGAGGAAGTGCAGAGGGGTCCACACACACACACACACACACGCACACACACACACACCATCCAGAGAAGGTGGCCAGGAAAAGCGTCCCAGAGAGCCACCTGTGCACAGTCCATGAGGTGGGGCAGGGAGCTTGGTAAATCAGGGACACAGAAAAGGAAGGAGGAGTCCAAGAGCATGAGAGCAGAGGAGGGACTCTGGCCAGGCACTGGACAAGCTCAGAGTAGGGTGAGGTGAGTGGGTGTCCCTAGAAGCACAAGGCATTTTTCTTTTGGGCCTTGCTGATTCTTCACACTAACTCCAAGCAGCTACTGATATTATCCCTATTTCATAGTTGAGGAAACTGAGGCTCAGAGAGGGGTACATGGACTTGCTCAAGATGATGCAGGCAGATTTGGAGGAGCTAAGTTGGACTCCTGAGCCAAGGGCTAGGCCACCACGGTGGAGCAGGGACAGCCTGCACTGCCTGAGAAGGTCATGCTGATGGGGACAGGGTCCTAGGGGTTCACCCTGGGAAGGCCCTAGGAGGGGCCTGGGCCCAGACTGTCAGAAAGTGGTTACTTTTCCCCAGACGTACCAGGACCAGAAGCTTCTAACTTTGGTGTGCTAGGAGGACGGTCGGTTCTGAGGGTCCATTGTCCCCTCTGCAGTGATGTCTCCAAGGCTCTGCTGTCTGCCTTATGGCTAAGGAGCACAGAGAGCTCTCTCTCTTGCTGGGTTTCCCATGTCCTACCACCTCAGGTCTTCCCAAGGTGTTGCTATCATGTCATAGATAAGTCAGCCGCGCTGGGCCAAGTGAAGATCCTCGGTAGGAGGCAAACTGTTAGATCCTCAATGGACTCTCTCCTGGGACACGCTGAAAAGGACCCCATGCTCAGTGAGGGTTCTAGTCCTTGATTCTGCTCCATCTTCTGGACCCCACAACGTGATACAACATTCTGGGTTTTCTGACTGCTGAGCTAGAAAGTTCATCATGGGCTCCAACACCCAGCGCCTTCCAAGGCTTTAACACTCGGAGACCCTCTCCTTCTTCTCGTTTTCTTCTGTTCATGGTGATAAGGCTTAAACCCAGAGTCTCACACAAGCTACACAACACTCTACCCCTGAGCAATATCCCCAACGCTGGCCATTGAGTATCTTATAGGAAGGATTTTTGTCTTCATCTTCTGCTTTTCCTTTCACACAGTTTAGCTTGCCCATGATGCTCAGCAAGAGTTTGTTGAGTGAATTACTAAGCAAATAGCATTGCCACTCCCACCGCCATCTGGCTGGTGCATGTGTGTCTCTGTTCCTCCTCCTCATATCTTCCAGGTCCAAAGGGGGACCCGGGTGTGCCTGGACACCCTGGCGAGAAGGGAGCCAAGGGGGCCGTGGGACCGCATGGAAGCCCAGGTATGGCCTCTGTCTCTTGGCTCTGTAATGTTTCCCTTTTCCTACAGGGCGTGCTCTGAGTTTTCTTTCCCTTCCAGGTCTCCTGGGACCCCAAGGCCCACCAGGAAGGAAGGGAGACCCAGGTGAGTAGGAAGGAATTCACAGATGGTCTTCTCAGCATGGGGCCCAGGCGGCAGTTTAAGCTCCCCCGGGTCTGTGAAGCTGGTGGTTGCCCTGAGACATGGGATGGGTTGAGAGGTAAGAGGAAGCATTCTGAGGGTAGAAGGGCGGGGCCAGGCAGAGGTACTGACTGATGTGATCCCCCTGCGGGAGGGGGGCTCTGGGCTGGGGAGTTGGAACTGTGAGTGCTGTGAACAAAGTCAGGCTACTCGGCCCAGCAGGGGTTTCAGGGCCTGGCTCCTGTGCCTCTGTGCCACCTCAGCCTCAGGGCACACTTCAAGCCCATGATCTTGCTGGGAAAGTGTTAGGCTCCATTTTTCAGGCTGTAGCTGAGACATACCCAGGGTTTTATCAGTGGTCTGGTGAGAGAGGGTGACAGGACAGATCCAGACCAGAGGGCTATTACAGTCGGCTCTGCTCTCCACTCTCTTCCTCCAGTTCCAAATTCCCCGGGGCTGAGGCTGCAGAGCTGTCAAGACGAAAAGACAATAAGACCTTCTGTAGGAGAGAGCAGAGCCAGAGGATCTGTAAGGAAGGGGAGGTAAACAAGCCAACAAGCTCTAAGCCTCCAGGCTGTCGAGGCAGAAAGAAAGCAACAGTTACAGGAAGGCAACTTGTTAGCAGGGAAATCTTCAAGAAACTGACTTTTGGAAGAAATTTAATAGACGGGATCCCAAGAAATTTATTGTTCTAAGTCCCTAGCAGGGGTTTTTTTCAGAGGTTTTAAGCAACAGGAAGGGGAAGACTACAGTGCAGTGGGAGGGCACACACAGTGCACTCACACCTTTCACACACACCCATGTGTTCACACAATTTCATACACACTCATTTTCAGCCACATATCTGCACATATAATCACATTCTCACACATATACACCATACACTCTTGCACACCCAGACAGTCAGACACATACACACACATCTGTGCACATTTATGCATGTACTCAAATTCTCACACACACATGAACAGTCATGGTTGTATACATTCATACTCATACACACACCATACACTCACACAACCTGTGTACAAAGGCTCTCACACTCAGCCTTTGGGAGTGAGGGGCTGGCAGGCTCACTCTGGGGGGAGTGGCCCTTCCTCCCTTCTCTTTCTTCCTGGAGAGAAAGGGGCTCCGGATGTGTTTCTGGAGCTCCCCAGACAACATCCAGGGAAGCTGGCTTGAAAGGAAAAGCCAGAGCCCAAGCACTCAGTGATATGCCTGAACCCTTCTTTCAGCCCCAGTCCTGCATGGAGCCCACATGCTTGAAAGAGCAGTGCCGTGGGCAGTGTGAGGCCAGAGCCCATCTGCTTCCACCTTGGGGCCCCTCTGGCTCCCCCAGGGAAAGATAGAGAAACCTGCCACATGCCCATGCTGGCCTAGGATCCATTTTTGTCCTGGGAATTGGAGCACTAGAGCCCAGTTAAGGCCAGCCCCGTTTTACAGGAAAGAAAATAGAGGTGTGGAATATTTAAGTGAAATTTCCAAAGTCATCCAGCCTGCCAGGCAGCAGAGCTATGATTCCAATGAACTCACTTTACTCTAAAGCTTTTCTTTCACTGCGGTGTGGGAGGCATTCCCAGGTGCTGTCCTATCTTTGGGAAAAGAGAGAGAACTCTGCCTGGACTTATGCACTCATGGGGAGGGTCTTGCGCAAGGCACCTTGTCCACCTCAGGTGCTCCAGAATGTCAGCTAACTGAAGAGCCCAGACCAGACCGCAGCAACTGAGCTTTTCCCTCCTTCCTTCTCCATAGGCCTCCAAGGACCCAAAGGCACACAAGGAGAGCAAGGAGTTGATGGTAACTTGGGCTTCCCCTCCTCAGGCCTGGGAGCAGCTGTCCTTAATGTCCTCTCTGCACAGCCCCAACTCAGCCCCAACCCAGCCCCTGAGGGTAACACCCTCCCCACAGTCCTCTTCTCTCAAGTCCTAGTGTACTCAGCAAGACCACCCAAGACATACGCCAACATTTCCCCAGTGGGGACACTTTCCTCTCCCTCTAGACTTTTCTCGCTTTTCCCAGGACCCCCTTCTGGGGACAGGGGGACCCCTCACTTGCTCTCCTCTTCATAGGTACACCAGGACCCCAAGGGGAGAAAGGCAGCAAAGGTGATGGAGGTCCCATTGGCCCCAAAGGAGAAGCTGGTGCCAAGGGAGATAAAGGAGACCTGGGCCACCCAGGTAAGAGCTGTGTTGGGGTGGCAGTGCTCACAGGGAGGTCGGAGGGACTGGGCTTCCAAATTCTCTGCCATTGTGTTTGCGCAGTGCTGTAGGCACCCCGGGCACTGGGTGTCACCACTTCTTTCCAGGTGAGCCAAGGACAGGGATGCATTGTGAGAGGGAGGACAGTGCCATTCCTGTGACTAGTGAAGGGCACAGGCCATACTAAGAGGTCAGAGAGGATGGAAGGTTAGGGGGAACTTGGGGGTAGAATTAGGAGAAGGGCAGGCTGGCATAGAGGACAAAGTATTTGCCAGAAGAAGGCCGCTAGAGTCCCCCACTGTGTAGGATGACTTCAGGTTATGGGCCATGCATAAGAAGCATCCTCAGATGATTCTGACCTTGAAGGTCTGGCACCACAGATGAAAACACTGCCCTGGGGCTCATAACTTGACTGAGTGCTTTCATGCACCTCATCTGCTTCTTGGTGCCCCATGGAGGAGACTCTGGGTGCAGCGAGGGTTGCCAGGAAGTCTCGGTGCCCATCCTGCTATGTACCCACTCACCTGTGTGACTGGGCATATCTTCAGCCTTTCTGAACTTCAATTGCCTCACTTCAGACACAAGGGTAATTTAATTAAAATAATAACAATTAAATTATACATGCCTTGCAGAACAGTTATAAGGGTTAGGGATTGAGATTTCAAACTGTTGGCCACGTGGTGGGCCCTACATAAATGGTAACGCTTATTAGTCATGCTGATAGTTGTACAACACAGTAGAACGGGGAGGACTTTGGTTCCAAGGTGAGACAGACCCGAGTTCTGATATAGCTCACTAGCTGGGCGACCATGGGCAAAAGACTGAATGTTATTGATCCTCAATGTACTCACTTACCAAAGGAAGATAATAACGCTGATCTTTAATGAGGGTTAACCACAAATGGAGTATAAGACATATGAGATATGCAATATTGTACCTGGCAGGTAGGAATTTTTTTTACCTCATAAGAAAACAACAGATTTTGCCTTCAAGTATAGAGCCCTCAGCAGGGACATGTCAGCCATTCTTAAATGTTTAGAAAGCACTTTTAGGGGAAAAAACAGATTTGCTCTGGGTAATACCAGCCAAAAACTGAGGACCAATGAGGTCAAGGTGCAGGAGGACCAACTGTGCAAGAGTGATTTAGAACATGGGGCTGACCCATGAGGAACAGGCCGACCCAGTCTTAACAGGCAGCCTTCCTGGTGGAACTGAGGGGGACTCTTACAACAGGCCAGGGGGTGGGCAGTGACTTCTGAGGACCCTCCGAAGCTGGTACTGCACAGCTCTCCTTGGTAAAGGACATCAGGCCATCATTCTCAAGGTGACCCAGCAGCACTCCAGGCTAGGCCTGATCTGTCCTGTTTCCAGTGGAGTCCACACCCAGCTCGAGCCTGGAAGCTGTACTGGAGGTGGCCAGCAAAGGAAAACACAACCATTTCAGTTCTCAGAAAGCAGGGTTACAAGTCAGCTGTCCCCTCCTGAAATCTCCTCTCCAAAGATAGTGACATCTTATTTGCTCACCACCTGCCCAGGCCCCTGCAGGTTCCAGGACTGTGTAAGGCCAGTAAGATGGGCACCATGACAAAGCCTCAGGTGGTAGACAGCCTGTCTTCCCACTCCTCCACCCACCCAGACTGGAACATTCTGAAGTCAGAAACAACTGCTTTTCCTGAGTTGTGGCCAGGGTCTGGATCTATTGCTGGGGTGATGCGGCCCTGCTTCTCAAAGTTGTCTCTTTAATGGGGATGTGGAAGTTATAGCAACACAAATGCAGGCTCAGACCATACAGAAAACACTGTCCAGCTGGACGAATGGTCGCTACAACTCAATGGTCATGGCCCAGATCAACAGGCCTTGCACCCTTCCCCAAGTAGATACTCCCAGGGAACCTACCTGTCTTTGCTGATTGCAGCTTGACTGTCATAAGCAACCTCAATTTTGATGGGCAGATGATTGTGTGTGTTTACAGAGTGTACTGTGAAACATTGGTACCTACGTACAGTACATAA